GGATAAGATTGCATCTAAGCTTGATTCGGCTTCACCATCAATATGTACGTGGTTGGACGTTGGTCTTGAGATTGGAATACCYYGTGACATATTACAGCAWATGGAAAAGGACCATACCTGCAATCCAACTGAAGAGTTGTTTAGATGTCTTTATACAGGTGCACGAAATGTCAAAGCAAGTGTAGTAGTTGATTACCTGACGCAGATGAAAAGATTGGATATTCTTGAAGAACTCAAAGAAATGTCACAATCATTAGGTAAGTTGATATATAGATATATAAAAAATTTGTATTTGTGATTTTTCCAACTAACGTCGCGGTTTTTTCTTTCGTGTTGCACTGATTCAACGGCAAAAGCTCAGACTGTCAGAAATAATGTATGCAATGGCCACTAAGTCATCCATATCAAACGAATCATGCAGTCAATCTGTTATTTTAATCTGTCAGGCTGATCAGAATTATGAGTTATGTCTTGATTTTTGACATCATCCAAAGGATTGGAGGTATACGTCCAATGACTACCTAAAAAATCATCCTGTCATTGCAGAATTTGATTCAAAAGATACTCAAGACATTTTCAAACTTGGATCAGAAGTTCTTGGTAGAATGTCCAGGAGGTTGAATGAAGACTCTCCAGGTGTGGAAGGCTGGAAGGGGCTTGCAARTCGTTTTCTATCTGACCAGTACATCGATGATCGAGATATCATTTCCAAGCTGGAGCCACCACATCAGCATGAAATCCATAGCCCAACTAAGAAAGTCATAGAATGGCTTACAGCAAACAAACCAGAAGTCACTGTTAATGAGCTAATTCAAAAATGTAGAGAAATTGGTCGTAATGATGCTGCGAATATCCTGAGTAAGCACTATAATGTTGGTAAGTACGTAGTGTGAGATTTTCAACAATACTGGTTGGCTATGTTGGACTACGATTTTAAAATCCTGCTTTGGAGACCAATCAGTGTAGCTCACTTCTGCATGATCAAGGTCTGAAGATAATTTTTGAAATATTTATAATTCTTTTTTTTTAGAATTTTCTTGTAATGACCCAGGTAGCCCAAAATTTCCTTCGCCGGTACAAGAAACAACCACGGCAAAAGGTGAGAAATGAAACTATAGATTTAGTCACAATTCATGCATTCTCAATGAAGGCTGGCTTCTAATTTAGTTGAATTAATTGAGTAACCTAACTAACAGGTAAATTAAACTGATTTGTCTCAGATATTCAAATTTACTGATATAAGTGATCGGTATTT